CATGAATTCTATATGCAGTATTCCCCTAGCACCGGAGTTCTGCCGTTCTCATTGATTGGTACTCTTAGTCTTGGCTGGCTGTTCTTGCTGATCTGGGGGAGGGGCCTGTTGCGGTGGTTCTCAGATGTCTTTGCTGGAGGCAGATTTGCCCCACCGTTGCCAGGCCTGGGCTAAGTAATCTCCTCGGGTTTGCTTTCCGTAGCTTTTGTTCCCTGCAAGTTTTTCATAGAGCTTTGGAGGATGAGAGTGAAAATGGTGGCCTCCCAATCTCTGTCTGGAGGAGCCAAGAACACAGGCCCCACTCCTCAGTGAGCTCCCAGAGAAAAGCAGTCAATCACTCTCATCTCCCTGGTCTCCAGCTGCACTCTGTGCTCACCCGACCTGTGACCGATCGTTTCTATGTCTGGCACCCGACCCCGTGTGGAGTCTCCAAACCCAGTAGATCCCTGTGGTGCACTTCTGTGCTGCTGCTCCCAGGGGAGGAAGGGGATTCTCCCTGGATCTGCCGCTTGTTGGGTCCCTGCTGGAGGAGCAGTGGCCTGACTGTGTCACCGATCACAGTTTATGGCAACCCTGAGCTGAGAGCCCACTCCTCGGCTCTGTTTCTGCAGCTGGCTTCCATGCTCTGATACCTGGGAGCTCTGCCACACTCAGGCACCCTTGGTCTTTCTGTGACCCCGAGGGTCCTGAGACCACACTGTCCATTGAGGGTTCCACCCCCACTTAGCCACTGGAGCGATATCCCTCAGCAGAGACGACTTCTAGAAGTTCTGATTTTGTGTTCCGCTGCTCTATCACTTGCCAGTAGCATCTGACGGAGGCCCCCTCCCCCCACTGTCTATCTTCCCAAAGATTCACTTCTCCACACGTCCTACCTTCCAGAAAGTGGTCGCTCTTCTGTTCAGAGAGGTGCTGTTATTCTTTTCTCCTATCTCCTGTTGAGTTCATAGGTGTTCAGAATGGTTTGATCCTTAACTAGCTGAATTCCTGGGACCAGACTAAATTTAGGTCTCCTACTCCTCTGACATCTTTCTCCTCCCCCCCCCCCCAAGCACTTTTAAGATGAGAGTTGTCTAGCAGGCATAGGGGGTGATAAAAATGGATGAAAGCAGAAAGGATAGAACCCCAAAGAAGGGAGGCTTCAGAAAACAAAGAGAGGTGGGGTTTCATACGATCTATGATGTTGGAGCATCTTAGTTATAAGGGCATAAGTAATAGCATGGAATAAGTTAATGGGCTTAAGGATACATTTATAGAACCTTGTCTGTATCATTTAGGACCGTAACAGAAAACTGATGACACACTCCAAATAGAATAATTTACAAAGAGAAAATCACTGTGGGACTGTCTATAAAATTGCAGATATGGAGGAGTCATATGGGTCAGTACCATAACCAGGAATTAGAAACAGTAGAGCTGTTAACACCATTATGCCTGAAGGGACTGGCAGAGTGAGTAGATAAACCCAAAAGGAGGGAGTTTTTTTTTCCATATTTTTAAAAATTAAGACTTAATTTTCTTTCTTTAATTATGTTAATCACCATACATTACATCATTAGTTTTTGATGTAGTGTTCCATGATTCCTTGTTGGCATATAACACCCAGTGCTCCATTCAATACATGCCCTCTTTAATACCGATCACCAGGCTAACCCATTCCCTCACCACCCTCCCTCTAGAATACTCGGTTTGTTTCTCAGAGTCCATAGTCTCTCATGGTTCATCTCCCCCTCCGATTTCCCCCTCTTCATTTTTCTCTTCAGTCTTAGGTTCACAGCAAAATTAAACGAAAGTTACAAAGTTTTTGCATACCCCCCATGCCCCCACACATGCATAGATTCCCTCATTTTCAGTGTCCCCCAACAGAATGGTATATTTGTTACAAAACATCGTAATCACCCAATGTCCATAGTTTACATTATGGCTTACTCTTGGTGTTGAATATTTTGTAGGTTTGGACAAATTTATAATGACATGAATCCATCATTGTATTATTATACAGAGTAGTTTCACTGTCCTAAAAATTCTCTGTGCTCTGCCTTTTCATCCTTCCCTATCCCCACCCCTGCCCCCCCAAGCCCTGGCAACCACTGACCTTTTTACTGCCTGCATAGTTTTGCCTTTTTTAGAATGTCATATAGTTGGAATCATATAGTATATAGCCTTTTCAGAGTGACTTCTTTTTCACTTAGTGATATGCATTTAAGTTTCCTCCAAGGGCATCTCGGCTCTTTCCACAGTTTGGCTATTGCGGACATGGCTGCTTTGAACTTTGGTGTGCATATGGTCCTTCTTTTCACTACGTCTGTGTCTTTGGGGTAAATACCCAGGAGTGCAGTTTCTGGGTCCTAGGGTAGCTCTATTTTTAATTTTTTGAGGAACCTCCACACTGTTTTCCAAAGTGGCTGTACCAACTTGCATTCCCACCAACAGTGTAAGAGGGTTCCCCTTTCTCCACAACCTCTCCAACATTTGTTGTTTCTTGCCTTGTCAATTTTTGCCATTCTAACTGGTGTAAGGTGGTATCTTGATGTGGTTTTGATTTGAATTTCCCTGATGGATAATGATGATGAACATTTTTTCATGTGTCTGTTAGCCATTTGTATGTCTTCTTTGGAGAAGTGTCTGTCCATGTCTTCTGCCCATTTTGACTTGATTATTTGTTTTTTTGGGGTGTTGAGTTTGAGAAGTTCTTTATAGATCTTGGATATCAGCAACTTTTGGGACTTCGTCAAGATAAAAAACTTCTGCACAGCAAAGGAAACAGTCCACAAAACAAAGAGGCAACCCATTCATTCTTTAGTAGGATGCTCTTTAGCCTCCATGTATGTGAGTTCTTTCCAGATTTCCCCTTGTGATTGAGTTCCAATTTCAAAGCACTGTAGTCTGAAAATATGCAGGGAATGATCCCAATCTTTTGGTACCAGTTTCCATTTTCTTTGGGTAGATGTGTAGTAGCAGAATTACTGGATCATATTTCTATTTTTAATTTAGAAACCTCCATACTGTTTTCCACAGTGGCTGTACCAATTTACATTCCCACCAACAGGGCACAAGGTTTCCTTTTTCTCTATTTCTTCACCAATACTTGTTATTTCTTCTCTTTTTGATTCAAACCATTTTGACAGGTGTAAGGTGATATATCATTGTGGTTTTGATTTGCATTTCTGCTCGATGATTAGTGATGCTGAGCATTTCTTTATGTGTCTGTTGGCCAGCTGTCTTCTTTGGAAAAATGTCTATTCAGATCCTCTGCCCATTTTTATTGATTTTTTTACTTTTCATTTTTTTAAAAGATTTTATTTATTTATTTGACACACAGAGTGAGGAATCACAAGTAGGCAGAGCGGCAGGCAGAGGGAGAGGGAGAAGCAGGCCCCCTGCTGAGGAGGGAGACCAATGCAGGGCTTGATCCCAGGACCCTGTGATCATGATCTGAGCCCAAAGCAGACGCTTAACTGATCGAGCCACCCAGGCACCCCCTCTGCCCATTTTTAAATTGGATTTTTTTTTATGTTGAGTTGTGTAAACTCTTTATATATTTTGGCTATTAACCCCTTATCAGATATATTATTATTGCAAATATCTTCTCCCATTCAGTAGATTACCTTTTTGTTTTATTGTTTTTTTCCTTTGCTGTGTAGAAACTTTTTATTTTGATGTATTTCCAATAGTTTATTTTTGGTTTTGTTTCTCTTGCCTGAGGAGACCTATCTAGAAAAATGTTGCTATGGCTGATGTCAGAGAAATTACTTCCTATGTTCTGTTCTAGAAGTTTTATGGTTTCAGGTGTCACGTTTAGGTTTTTAATCCATATTGAGTTTGTTTTTATGTATGGTATAAGAAAGTGGTCCAGTTTCATTCTTTTCCATGTGGCTGTCTAGTCTTCTCAATACCATTTGTTGAACAGACATTTTTCCACTGTATATTCTTGCCTCCTTTGTCATAGGTTAGTTGACCATGTAAGAGTGAGTTTATTTTGGACCTGTATCCTGTTTCATTGATTTGTGTATCTGTTTTTCTGGCAGTACCATAATGTTTTGATTACTACCACTTTGTAGTATATCTTTAAATCTGGGATTGTGTGATATCTCTAGCTTTGTTCTTCTTTCTCAAGATTGCTTTGTCTATTCAGGGTCTTTTTTATTCCACACACATTTTAGGATTATTTGTTCTAGTTCTGTGAAGAATGCTGTTGGTATTTTGATAGGGATTGCATTGCATCTGTAGAATTCTTTGGGTAGTATGGCCTTTTTAACATTAATTCTTCCAAACCATGGGCATAGAAAATCTCTCCATTTGTTTTTGTTGTCTTCAATTTCTTTCATCAGTGTTTTATAGTTTTCAGAGTATAGTTCTTTCACCCTTTTGGTTAAGTTTATTTCTAGTTGTTTTATTCTTTTTGGTGCAATTGCAAATTTTCTTAATTTCTCTTTCTGCTATTTGTTATTAGTGTATATAAATGCAAGCAATTTCTGTGTATTAATTTTGTATCTGCAACTTTAGTAAAGGTAATTCTGTCATCATCACTTCACAGAGTGTATAATATAAAGATAATTTTAGGAAGAAAAATTTCTGAAAGATATGAAATGGAGATAAGGCTGGTAGAATAAAATTGAGATAGAACCTAGTTATTTATCAGAGAACATTTCTGGGTGAGAGGTATTGACAAGTATTTGTGGATTCATAGATGGGACAGTCAGTTATAGGTTGATTTAGGAAAATAAGGACAGTTTCTCTCTTATTCACCATTATATTCCTGGTGCCTAGTACAGTGTCTGACACATAGTAGCTAATCATTAAGCACATGTAGAAGACACTGAATAAAACAAATATTAAGGAGTTATTACTTAAGGTCTTTATTGCAAACATCAGTAAACTGTTCAACCAATTCATGTGGTATTAGATTTGGATAGGTCTCTATTTTCCTAAGGATCCAACATCTCTAAGTGATATAGTCCTTTGGAACAGTAGAATTAGAAATGCACATCATAGTCCAGAGGGCGTATCACACATCATGACATTTTCTACTACTAATCTAGGGAAATGAGCCATTTTCCTTACTTGTTCTGGGAAATTCAGATGCATTTCTATGTTCCTTGGATGAAGCACACATCAACTTTTAAATTATTCCCTCAGTGTTTTGATTCCTAGCTGGCTGGCCCTGGCCTCCAGAGAATTGATTTTCTTAGTCACAATCCATGATACTAGTTAGCTCATTGTTACATCACAGAAGGAACTGATATATGCCAAAATATAGAAGACAAAGCTTTCTGTTGTAGATGGGGGAAGAGGCACCTCTACCCCCTCTATAGTTCCTGACTACACCAAAACTGTCACCAGCAACTGGTAGGTGGAAGATTGGCATTATATTATTTACATAAACTACTCTATTTTTTGAGACATTGGGGTAGATATAATAATGGGATTAACTCTGTAAAGTACTCAAAGAATAGTGGTAAGAAGCAGAAGGTTTTAGAAGGAAAGGTGTTAGGGAAACATCGTGATCATATAGAGTAGACCTTAACCTTGGTGGACAAACAATTTCTTCTTTTGCTTTTTGCTCACAGGTAAGGCATTTTGAACCAAGGCTGAACAGGGCATTGAGAAGATAACTTGATCATCTCATATTTACAGGATGAGCCATTCTTAAACAGTCTCAATCAGAGAAGGTTGTTCTGATTTATGGGTCTTCAGGGAGTGCCAGATCATTAAAATAATCTTCCAAAATTTTGAATCCTGTCACTCCTAAAATGAAGTCAGGAAAAACCTGACTTATGATGGTTTTTCAAGATGGCCACTGTGAAGAGGGCCTGACATGTTTCATTTTGAAGGAACTGGAGGAGGTAGTACCAACAACTCTGGAGGTGATAAAGAGAAAAAAAACTTAAAAGCAAGGAGACTCTTATTTGAAATTAATATGGGTAGAGTAGATATCTTAAAAAGAGGATTCCAGGAAACAAAATCAGGAATCATGAAGCGGACTCAGAAAACACCAAATGGATTAATAAAACAATTGAACTTAGAAGTATGTGACAATTTTTCCTGTAGCATCATCAACTAGTTTATTCACTTACAAATCCATCCATCCATCCATCCAACAAACACATATTAAGGACCATAGTGTGCCAGAAGTTATCTTAGGCACTAGATTGATATATAAATGAGACATACTTCATATCATTAAGGGGCTCAGCATTTCAGTTATATTTTGGGTAAAATATAAACTGAAAAATGACAATGAAATGAGTAAAGGTTTTTTGTTTTGTTTTTTGAGATATGAACAGAGTATTACTATGGGAGCCCAGATTTCTCTAGTATTTGTTAGAAATTATTCATACAGAATTTCAGGCATTTTGGAAAAAAGGCCTTCTGAGACTAGCCAGATGATTTAACAATAGTGATTTTTTAAAAAAGATTTATTTATTTTTATACAGAGACAGAGTGTGCCAAAGTGGGGGGAGGGATAGAATGAGAGAGAGAGAGAAGCAGACTCCCCACTGAGTGAGGAGTCCAATGCTGGACTTGATCTCATGACCCATGACATTGTGACCCATGAAATCATGACCTAAGCTGAAACCAAGTTGGACTCTTAATGAACTGAGCCACCCAGGCCCCTCAACAATAGTGATTTATCAACAGTCACATAGGATTGTAGTCTGGGGAAAACAGGAGGAGATGGTAGTGTTTAGAAGTCAGATGTTCTTTTCTTCTCTAAGCTGTTTCTCAGATTTAGTCTTCTGGATCCAAGGAGAGTAGCTGGGGACAGAGTGGGGATAAAGAAGTCTAAACAGACATTAAAGGACAATATTTTGGACATCATATAAGAATAATAGTTTCTTTAATGAACTTGCTTCTTTGCAAAGGAAATATAACCATCATTATCCTCATAATGACAACAGTAATAATATTTTAAGTAAGTATGAATTATATACCAGGTATTTTTTCTGAGCTTTACATGCATTAGCTCATTAATCCCTACAATAATACCTATGAGGTAGGTACTATTACTATCTCCATTGCACTAATGGACACATTAAGGGAGAGAAGTGAGTGAGTTGCTCAAGGTCACATAGCTAGTGCTAGTAACTGATCAGCTGTGATTAGAACCAAAGCACTCACACTCCATATCTGTCTTTTAAGAGAAATGCACAAGCAGCAAATGATCTTCTCATATTGAAATCAGCCCTTCTCTGATGCTAATGTTTTCTTCTTGCCTAGTTTGCTGTGGGCCACAAAGTATATAGGAAATCAAGATAATTCTACATTTTGGTATTCTCTGCTGCTGGTTTTTTGTTTTTTAGATTTTATTTATTTATTTGACAGAGAGACAGATAGTGAAAGCAGGAACACAAGCAGAGGGAGTGGGAGAGGGAGAAGCAGGCTTTCTGGCGAGCATGGAGCCCAATGTGGGACTCGATCCCAGGACCCTGGGATCATGACCTGAGCTGAAGGCAGATGCTTAATGACTGAGCCACCCAGGTGCTCCTCTGCTGCTGGTTTATTTGTGAGACTCAAGATCCATAGTCTCCACATATCCCACTATATGGTGAAGATGTTTTTGTATACTATCTCCTCACAGAGTAGTCTCAGAGGTCACAGAATGTCTCCTTACAGAATAAGATAGGTAAGCTCAATGTCTTAGGAATAGGAAAAATGAATTTAAATTATTTCTTTTACATGTTGTGTGTATCCACAGTGATGATTTAATCACTGTCCCTCCATGTTGTCCCCCACATTGTTCTTTATATACCTTTTTAGGGCTTCACTCTCAATCCACTTTTATCTTCATAGAATTCTAGAATTATACAGCTAAATTATTCATTAAAATTCTAGTTGAAATCCCTTATGTTGCTAGGAAGAAACTGTTGCAGAGGGAAGTTGAATGACTTTTCTAAGGTCACGCAGATTTTGGTGACTAAGCTGTCATGGGAATCCAAGTTTCTTAATTCTTCAGTGCTCTTTCTAGTTGCCTTTCAAACTGGAGTATATGTCACATAAGTACCCCACACTTTCTAAAATTCAATTCTTTATAAAGATTTTGGAGAAATTAAAGGAATATATGATATCATATATGCATGTCTATATACAACATATATAAGACTCATAAAGATAAAATGTTTCAAATAATGACTTTGTTTTTGTGATTCTTTATCCTATGTTCTAAAAATATCTTTTTTTGAATGGTTTGCTGTAACATGGATCTTCCTGAGGTAGAGTACTCTTTAAAAATAAACTCCATTAAAGAGGGCACATTCTGCATGGAGCACTGGGTGTTATGAACAAACAATGAATCATGGAACACTACACCAAAACAAATGATGTAATATATGATTAACATAACAATAAAAAAATAAAAAATTAAAAAAAAGAGGGCACATACTGAATGGAGCCTTGGGTGTTATAAGCAAACAATGAATCATGGAGCACTATATCAAAAACTAATGACGTAATGTATGGTGATTAACATAACATAATAAAAACAAAACAAAGCAAAAACCTCCACATATTTGTGTTTTCTAAAAATCTAGTACCTTCCTATCATGCTTGCCTCTAGGCTCCCTTCCTCACTTGACTTTAGTCTCAGGGTTTCCTTTGCTCTGTCCCCTAGCTCAGGGAAGGTTAAGTTCTACCACATAGCCTTCACCATAGTCCTATGATCGGCAGGTTTGAAAGGCTGAAGTACTATTCTCTGGGGAAGAATTTTCGATAAATCTTCATTTGAATCTATTTATCAACATTTTCTTTCTTTATTTTATAAAGCTATTTTGATTTTCATTTAAATGAATACTCACCAGTGGCAATGTGACCCATAAAGATGGACTGTTTTCATCCCCAGAAGAAATGCAGGACTAACAACTGCCTCTTTCTTTTACAGCTTTCTTCCCCTTCATCAGTACATTTCCTTTTCTTCCATTTTCCCAGCTTCTCAGTTTCAGCTTGCTCCTTCTACCTTATGTTATTAAAGCAGGGTCTGAAAGCAGTTCTTTGTGTTGCAAGCTTTTGATTTCCAGGAAGGGCTAAGATGAGTGACTTTTACTCTGGGAGACACTGGCTTCTTCATTCACATCTTTCTCTAAGGAAAGAGAATCAACAATGGTCATGATGATAGCTAACATTTTAAAAATGCCTCTTGTATGAGAGTAATCCAGTATCTCTTGAGTCATTTAATCTTTTACTCTTTCAGGATCTCTGTGCTAGACTCCTTAATTTCTCAAATTGGCAAGGTAACTATTCTCTGTGTGATTACTAAGAGCTTGGCTAGATGCATGGATGAACACTGCATTGCTGGTAAGGAAGAAGTTCTGCACAGATTCTTACTTTTCCCCAAAGCATTTGTTCCCTTGAGGAGAGTTCACGGTTCACTCACCTGTAGGGAAAGCCTCTGTACTTCTAGGTATCTCCATAGTCATCCTCTAGATACTACATCCCTGCAGATTAAACATAGAATGGGAATTCAGTAGATGTTGTTAAAAGAAGAACAGGCCTTTTTAGATTTCACATATAAGTGAGATCATGCAGTATTTCTTTGTTTGGCTTATATCACTTAGCATAACATCCTCCAGGTTCATCCATGTTGTTGCAAATGGATGATAGCTAATATTTTAGAATCTCTTTTTTTTAAAGACAGAATTATATATATAATAATTATTATATTATTATTATATCACATTTCCTTTTTCGGTGTGAGAGTAGAATGGTTGTTACCAGGGACAAGGAGGTGGGGGAAATTGGAAGATGTTGGTCAAAAACAAAGTTGCAGTTATGTAGAATGAATGGATAAGTTTGGAGATCTAATGTACAGAATAATTACTATCATTAATAATACTGTATTGAAGTCTGAAAATTTGCTAAGAGAGTAGGTTTCAGGCGTTCTTGTAACTGAAAAAACCGTGAAAACTGAAAACTGAAAAAAAAAAACCCTGAAAAAACTGTGTGAAGAGATTGTTAATTAACTTGATGATAGTACTCATTTCACGCGCATATGTGTATGAAATTGTGTTGTACACCTTAAATATATACAATTTTTATTTAAAGACAATAAAAAGAGGAGCAGGCTTGGGAGGTGTAGTGTAGGCAGGATAAAGTAAAACCTGCTTAACCAACTAATACAGCTGCTCTAAGAGTTAAGTGCTGGCTTAGGATAGCTAACTCTAGATGACAGCCTAGGAAGGAAATGCCCTAACCCAGCCTCCATGGATGGCTTATCTCCTCCCAGAATTCCCACAAACGTAATTCCTTGCTCTGGATTATATTGGCACAACCCCAAGTTTTTCTTAGAGTTGTGGACAGAGCATTCCTAAATATTTATGGCAGATTCATTCAAATTTTATTAAAAACCTGAATGTGCGGGATGAACCTCATTTTAGACATGGAAGATATAAAGTTACGTTTTTAATAGTATGACAATAATGACTACAATATAACACTAAATCCTCTAATTGCATCTCCTAAATATTTTCTAAAGAAAACACTTTATTTCTCTCAATAGCTGTTGCTTTATCTGTAGTTTATTTTTATTTTATTTTATTTTTTTAAAGATTTTATTTATTTACTTGAGAGAGAATGAGAGAGAGAGCATGAGAGGGGGGAGGGTCAGAGGGAGAAGCAGACTCCCCGCTGAGCAGGGAGCCCAATGTAGGACTCGATCCCGGGACTCCAAGATCATGACCTAAGCCGGAGGCAGTTGCTTAACCAACTGAGCCACCCAGGCACCCTGCTTTATCTGTAGTTTAAGCCATATCTAATCCTATTACAATTTATTTACAAAGTGGCCAGGGTGATATTTCTAAATCACAAATTTTGTTAAGCTTTTTATATAGCTTAACAAGCTATATAATATAGCAATCTATTCCAAAATATATTGGAAACTGTTAAAATCTAATTTTCTTTTTATAGACCATATTACTTGGTCCTTGGCCGTCTCTACTCTGTTCTTGTGCTTCGGTAAGTTGCAGGTCTTCTGTAGTTCCTACAAACTTTTCCCTATCACAAGGCCTTTGTATTTGCTCTTCTCTATTCCTAAAATGCTTTTCTTCTATTTTCAAAGTTAGGTGAAATGTCACCAGTTCAAAGATGCTTTTCTTAAAAAGCCCTCACCATCACTACCACATGCCACTACATTTATTCTCTGTCATAATTCCCTTTTTAATTCCCTCTTGTCTCTTATTAATAGTGGTAATTATTTATTTTGCTTATTTGTAGTTCATTGACTTATTGTTTGTTTACTAATTTTTTGTCCGTCTATATTTCTAAAATGGAAGTTCAGTGAGGCAGAAACTGAGTCTTCCTTGTTCATTGTTGTGTTCTCAGCAGTTAGCACATAGTAGATGTTCCCTAAATATGTGTTGAAGAAACGAATAATTTATAGAAGTGACACAGAAGGTATATATTTTGGGATAGAGCTTTCAACATCATATGTAAAGTTTTATGAAGGCTATCAGGCACCTTCTACAGGTAAATATAATAAAACCATTGCTTTCTGGATTCCTAGGAAATAATGTCAGTCCGGGTAATCATGCTCTTAAGAAAGTTGAGGATTGAAAACTGGCAGCATTATCTTTCTTTTGACTAAAATCTTTCTAAACTGAATTTTAAATTTCCTTATCTTACTAAACATGATTAATTAAATCACTGAGGCCCACCCTGGGCTATTCATGGATGTGGGAATATTTACTCTTTTGCTAAATAATGCCATAATGCTGAGCTTTCTGAATGTTTTTTTCTGCTTTTTGTGTCAGATTGCAGCTAAGTACTGGTCTTTCTCCGTGTGTCTACTTGTAGTGAACCATCCCTTCTTTATGAATGCTTTTTTAACAGATCAGGAAGGCAAGGCATATGTTTATGTTTGTTAAAATTATGCACAAACTGAGTCAGTAGATTGCAGGGAAGAAACACTGGGTTTCTTCAGTCAATAGTATACATAAGCTTTAGTGCCTGGAAGCTGTTAAATCCGGTTTTATAGTATCTTTTTTTTTTTTGGTTTTATAGAATCTTAATTTTGTTTTTCTATGCTTACTTCCTGAGGAGAGGAAATATTATAAAATAGCACACCAGTAGAACAGAAAAAACTCTTCAGTATTGGCTGTCAGTTATAAGAAATACTTTCTTCAATGGGCAGTTTTTATATTAAGCATATTTGGTAAAGTGAACGATTATCTTATTTTTATTTGATGGGTTTTGTTCTATCTAATAGTGGTAGGTTCAATACTAGGACTTGAGCAAAATTTTAGCAATAATCTTATTCCCATTGTCACCTTGAAGTGGCAGAATGGGTCAGCTTGGGTGGCAAGCATACCCATTCCTCAGATCACTATATCTTTTTCCTACCTTCCTGGAACAGTGGATAAACTGCATGTTCCGTGGAATAATGGCATCTGGTCATAGCCAGAAGAATTTTCATATATGTCCCTGCATTGTTGCATATTGTGGCTATTTATATTGCTAACGATTAAGCTGTATAGGCTTTGGTTAAGGAAAAAATGACCATTCACCACACATGAAGCCCTGAGATCTTTTTGAAAGATTAAAATGAAAGCAATGCCAGATCAGTGTGCCTGCTATTAGACAACAAGCATAAGTATCCAGGTTGGCTAGATTTCTCAACAACAACAACAAAAAATCTAGAAATAACTAGCTTTTCTTATTACCAGTTTATAATTTGGCTTCTCTCATAAATAGCTACACATATTGCTTACTAAGGTAGATATATGAGAAAAGGATTAGTGCACTGCTGAGTTTCATAAAAATAGAAATTAATTACATTAATAGATTGGGATTTTTGGTTTCAGCTACGTGACATGCTTCATATGGTTTCAGTATTTCTAATTTTCAGGTCATCACTTATTCTTTCAATATCTTGGGTTATCAGACATCAGATGGGACAATCAAATGTATCTTAATAAGTCCCTTAATGACACAGACCAATCTGATGATTTCAATAGCAGTAAAATGAATCTAGCTAAATGTTATTTGGAATAATTGTAATTTATTTATTTTTTATAGCCATATTATTTTAAAAGCGAAGAAATGGAACCTGCAAATTACACCAGGGTGACAGAATTTGTTCTCACTGGCCTATCCCAGACTCGAGAGGTACAACTAGTCCTATTTGTTATATTTCTATCCTTCTATCTGTTCATACTTCCAGGAAATATTCTTATTATTTGTGCCATCAGACTTGACCCTCATTTGACCTCACCCATGTACTTCCTGTTGGCTAATCTGGCCTTCCTTGACATTTGGTACTCCTCCATCACAGCCCCTAAAATGTTCGTAGACTTCTTTGTGGAAAGGAAGAGAATTTCCTTTGGTGGGTGCATTGCACAGCTCTTCTTCTTGCACTTCATTGGGGCCTCCGAGATGTTCCTGCTCACAGTAATGGCCTTTGACCGCTATGCTGCTATCTGCCGCCCTCTCCACTATGCTACTATCATGAATCGACGTCTCTGCTGTATCCTGGTGGCTCTCTCCTGGTTGGGGGGCTTTATTCATTCTATAATACAAGTGGCTTTCATTGTTCGACTTCCCTTCTGTGAGCCCAGTGAGTTAGACAGTTACTTCTGTGACATCACGCAGGTAGTCCGGATTGCCTGTGGCAATACCTTCCCAGAGGAGTTAGTGATGATTTTTAGTAGTGGTCTGATCTCTGTGGTATGTTTCATTGCTCTCCTAATGTCCTATGCCTTCCTCCTGGCCATGCTGAAGAAACACTCAGGTTCAGGGGAGAGTACCAGCCGGGCCATGTCCACCTGCTATTCCCACATCACCATTGTGGTGTTTATGTTTGGGCCATCCATCTACATTTATGCTCACCCATTTGACTCTTTTTCCCTAGATAAGGTGGTGTCTGTGTTCCATACTGTGATATTCCCTTTACTTAATCCCGTTATCTACACCTTGCGAAATAAGGAAGTAAAGACGGCCATGAGGAAGTTGGTCAACAGATATATGTTATGCAGAGAGAAGTGAAAGATAAGTGGCATATTCTATAATCTTGCTGAGGATCATTATCCTAAAGTAGGAAGCATTTGCAACAGTAATAATGCTTTCACTACCTTTTTTCATCTGAGTTCTTAAATTCTCACCAGGTTTTTGTAGCCAGTCTCTACTTACATCTTCCAGTGTGAAAGCGGACTTGGAGGAAAGGGATTCTAAGTTGGCTGGAATTGACAGACACCTAGCTGTGTGATTTTAAAAGATTCTTATCTCCTTTGTCATTTTTTGTGTGTTTTCTGTATTTTCTAATTCTGTTTCTCATGTTAAAATTACATTAGTAGGGTGCTGCTTTTGTTAGCCCTATAATCCAGAGTTCTTTCCCATTAAACCATTTTTTTTTTTTTAGTACATATGAAAGAGACCTGAATGTACTGGTTCTCATAATCCTTTAGTGAATTATTTAGTAGAGATCAATTTACTATTCCTTAACACTAAGAACCTAATTACCGACTGTGCTTCAGAATATAAAAGATAGTTTAGAATATTTGAGTTCATATAAATTTATTTACTTAAATTAACTTTCAAATTCAAAACTAAGATTCTGTCCATCAAAGAGAGAGAGCATTTTGTGTGTTCTGAGCTTTAGTCTTATGTTTTCTTTGATAACATAATATGACTAGACTTTGAAAGGAACAAATACCTGTCAGCTTCAGGAATGAATATATATAAATGAGTGATGAAAACGATGAAAACCTCAGGTACACAGGATGGAATGATGGCACATAAAGTTTATTCTTTGCTTTGGCACTTTTTCTCTTTGATGACCTTCTTTCATCTTCAAAGCTAGAGTGACTTCTCTTCTAAGAACCCAAATATACTGATTGAAATTATGATTCCTGAATTTTGAGTTGACTTCTCATTGTCTGGAAATGAGTAAAATATTAGACATCTCTAATATTTTACAACAGAACATGAAAAAAACCTAACATACAAGAGATATATATATAGAGATATAATAAAAATGATTTATGTTTCTAGATTTTATGTTTCCTTATTGTTATTTCTCTGTATCTGAAACAGCCAGACTTCTATTCACTTTGTCACTTATCCTTCATTTAGCTAGGATTAATGTTTTTGTGGAAAAGACTACTGACTCAATATGCTCTTCAAACACCATTATACTCCTACTACAGAAGGGCATTAATTGAAAATATTGAAACTAGGAATAAGAAGAAAAAAACACCAAATACAGCAGTGTAATGAAGATATTAATAATATCTTAATATTAACAAGATGGATTTTACTGTTACATTTGCTAAAAAACATCTTTATTATCCAAACAAAAATAAAGTTCTGTTTTTTAATTACTAAAATAATATGTTCATTAAAAGTTAAAAATATATGAACATGTAAGCAGAAAAACAACCATTACTAGCAATTTCTTTTCCCCAGGGATTGGGGTTTTCACATAACAAAATTTGTGAAGTCCCACCCATCCAGCTCTACTGGAAGCAGGCCAGTTTGCCTGTCTTCATTGCTATAAAATATAGGTGAGGTGGAATAAAAATCTTCAGACAAGTAAGTGTAAACTTCAGATTTTATATCTAGCAAAAGTGGCATTTAATTTAAAAGGCTACCAACTGTTTTAAACATTAAACAAAATTCTGGGAATGTTGTTTCCAAGAACTTCTTGAAGAAACTCAGAATAAATCAGTCATAAAGACTGAGAAACTAGGATAGAAAGATGGGTACTGAATATTAAATATATTAAACTACATCTAAGGCTGAAACTGATGTGGTGATTTGCATGATTGAACAGTATGAAGTACCACATGCTTTGATAATGTAGAAACGAGCTGCATTCCATTTCCATCTGGTGGCATATTGGAGAGCTTTACTGAACCTGTCACTAAAAACAAATACACATGTTGGGTAACATTTTTTGAAATACTTTGATTAGTTAGCCAAAAAATAAAAAAGATGGTATAGAATATTGAGAATCTGGAAATCAAATGAAACTGGGAACCCAGATAAATAAATGGTGAATAGAAATCAGCTTTTATTGTGAAAACCTGTGTTCTGTTTTTAAGGCCACCGTGTTGATGGGGGGGGGGCAGAGATGGATAGGTAACAAAGCCCAGGGCACTCACAAGGAAATCCTCCACAACAAGCTGAGATCTCAAAGGATATATTCTCAGGGTAGCGGTGAAATAGAGTTAAAAAAAAAAATCACCGCCTGAAAGGCTAAAAAGAGAAAAAAGAATTATGAACTGTAAGTGGAATCACAGATATTTTTTGAGTTTGAATTTATACTATTGAGTTGTCTGAATCACTGCTAGCTGATAATTTTATTCACAGTTTCTGGTTCCAGAGATGTAATGCCTCTTGATAGAAGGAACTACAAATACGCTATGGTGGATGCTGCCATTATCCAGGACTTAAAGTATTCTACAGATAAGAAATAAGCTTACAGTCTGACATCAATGATCATACAAGAAAGCAAGGCTCTGTGAGTGAAAGCCAGAAGAACAACAGAAAGAAGAATCAAAAGCATGAAAGAAGAATCAAAAGCATAAAAGAACTACAGAATATAAATTGCATATTTAGTATTTTTTAAGAAATAAAAAAAAATGGCTGGAAATATGAAAAAGGAGGACACCATAAAAACAAACAGGAACATTTTATTAAAAACAAAGAGAACTTAGATTCAGTTAAAGAATTCTGTAGACGTGTCTCTGCACATTAGACACATTCAGAGAGAAACAGGAATCTAGAATATAGATCTGGGTAAATTACCGACAATACAGTGTAGAAGCAAAATGGGATAGAAAGGATGAAAGAAAGGGTAAGAGATATTGAGATCTGAAAGTTCAGAGTTTCTGGAGGAGAAGATAGATGGAAGAGGCAATTTTGAAGAGGTAAAGCTGAAAAATTTCCCAAACTAACAAAAGACACCAATCTCCATACTCAAGGATATTAGTAGGAATATTGGTAGGAAAAAATTTTAAAAACACACATTGAGATACATCATAAAATCCATAAAGACAACTCAGCAGATGTTGAAAACATCTGAATACAGAAGCAGAGATTACTCTCTAGGGAAAGGCACTTAACAGCAGACTGCTTTAACAGAAAAATGTAAACCAATGAAGAATTATATTCAATGTTCAGAGATAAAATAACTGTAAGAATAAAATAAAAACTCCTTAGAAAAACAGAAAAAAGTTTGCTGCTAGCAGACAACTGAGAGAAATTTCATAAGATATACTTGAAACAAAAAAGTGATCCCAGCTAGTAGATTTGAGATGACAGAAAAAGAATGGCAAGTATGTGATACATCAAAACAAACATCTACGGTATTAACTACCAAGAGTGACAAACAAACTTCTGAAATCTAGAAAAATGTTAAGAACTAAAGTTCATGGAAATAATATTTATATAAGTCAAGAGTTGTGTGATGGGAGTCAAACGCAGTAGTCTATATTTTTCTAGAAGATGGTGAGGATACTGATTTACTTTTAACTTTGGGTTGTTTTCAGTTTTTATAGATTATGCCATAGAAATAACAGAAAAATTTCATTGGCGTTACATATCAGAAGTTTATTTCTCACATAAAGCCTGTTGTAGGTTTGGGTGACACTCCAGAACACTGAAAAAACAAAAAGTTAAAATGAAAAATAGCAAATATATTAGAAAGACTATTAAGTTAAATTAGTTAAGGTTCTTGTATTATTTTAGAGCTGTGCTATACAATACATTAACTATGTATGACATAAATTTTAACTAACAAAATTTAAGATTAATTTCCTCAGGCTATAGCCACATTTCAAGTGCTCAATTATCACATGTGGTGGGTGGATACCACATTAGACAGCACATTTCCAGGGTTTATATTATATAATAATACCATTTCTGGAATTTTTAGGTAATATCTATTAGGTCCAAGTTATGAGCAAAAATAAAATTAGTATTTCCCTTCCTTTCCTTGTCTTCAACTTAGATTGTAGTGATTAAAAGTTTTATATATTTTTACTTTTTTATTATGTTAATCACTATATATTACATCATTAGTTTTTGATGTAGTGTTCCATGATTCATTGTTTGCATATAACACACAGTGCTCCATTCAGTATGTGCCCATCACTGGGCTAACCCATTCCCCCACCACCCTCCCCTCTAGAACCCTCAGTTTGTTTCTCAGAGTCCAGAGTCTCTTATGGTTCATCTGCCCCACCTATTTCGCTCCATTCATTTTTCCCTACTTGCTATCATCTTTTTTTCTTTCCTTTTTTTTTAAACATATAATGTATTATTTGTTTCAGAGGTACAGGTCTGTGATTCAACAGTCTTACACAATTCACAGCGCTCACCACAGCACATACCCTCCCCAATGTCTATCACCCTGCCACCCCATCCCTCCACCCCCCCACCACACCAGCAACCCTCAGTTTGTTTCCTGATTAAGAATTTCTCATATCAGTGAGGTCATATAATACCTGTCTTTCTCTGATTGACTTATTTCTCTCAGCATAATACCCTCCAGTTCCAACCACGTTGTTGCAAATGGCAAGATTTCATTCCTTTTGATGACTGCATAATATTCCATTGTGTAACCACTTCTTCTTTATCCATTCATCTGTCGATGGATATCTTGGCTCTTTCCACAGTTTGGCTATTGTGGACATTGCTGCTATAAACATCGGGGTGCACGTACCCCTTTGAATCCCTACATTTGTATCTTTGGGGTAAATACCCAGTAGTGCAATTGCTGGGTCATAGGTTAGCTCTATTTTCAACCTTTTGAGGAACCTCCATACTGTCCGCCAGAGTCGCTGCACCAGCTTACATTCCCACGAACAGTGTAGGAGGGTTCCCCTTTCTCCACATCCCTGCCAACATCTGTCATTTCCTGACTTGTTAATTTTAGCCCTTCTGACTGGTGTGAGGTGGTCTCTCACTGAGGTTTTGATTTGGATTTCCCTGATGTGGAGCGATGTTGAGCACTTTTTTATGTGTCTGTTGGCCATTTGGAT